AATCATGAAATTAGTTATATTTTTTTTATAAAAAAAATCCTGCAAATAAAATAAGAACTAAAGGTGTATTTGACAAAAAGATATCGCATAATCTAGTTAAAAATTTATAACCTAAAAGTTTAGAGTTGAAAAATAAAAAAACTTTACTAGATTAAATTGTTAGTATTTTGTGATATTAACTAATAAATTAGTTGATTAATGCAAAACGATATGTTTAATTATCGGATTCTCTCTCTTTATCTATCATCTTCAATATTTATGAAAAAATATTGAAAAAAGAAGAAAAAAATTAGTAGGTCATTTGTTAGTTAAAGTATCTTACAAAACTAAATAATTTTATTATAGTGAAAGCAACTTATAAATTAATTAAATCAACCTACAAGCTAATAAAGTAACATGCAGAATATAATAAAAATGGAACAAGGGGAATTCTTAATAATGAAACAGATTTGTTAAAAAAAAAACTAACTTGATAGTTGAAAGTAAAATTATTTACTCCAATGTATCCCATAACACAATGTGACAAAAAAATTCATCATTTTTGAAGAAAAAAAATAATTAAAAGCTTGAAGTTTGAAAATTGATAATAAATTTTAAAATATGACTTATCAAGGTGTCTCATGTAGAAGAAAGAGCTGATAAGTTGTCGTAATTGAACAAATTCTTTAATTTGGGTTGAGAAATGTATATAATAAGAAATAAAGATTATTTTATGAGAAAAGATCTGCCATACTGTCTATGTTAACGTGTCTCCCTTTCAAAAGAAGAGTTAATTTAAAATTCATAAACCAAGCAGAGTAAAATTGCTGTAAACAAAAGTAGATCTAGAAAATATTAGTTGGGAAGCAAACTTTTGATTTGATGCAACTCAAGGGAACTATTGGGCTTAAAAAGCCTTAGAAGAAGTACATCGATAAAATAACAATGGAGCCCAAAAAGGGTGTAGTGGGCCTGCTCTCAACTAAAACGGTGGTTCAATACATACACGTTTTTCTTTCTTCCACCATCCATTCTTTGGGCTACCGGGACTGTTAGGTAGGTTGGAGTTGAAGAGGATTTATAAACAGTCACCTCTTTTAATTTTTAATTTTTGATCAATTAAATATTTATAAATAACGTAACATTCAATTTGCTTCTCTTTTTTTTTTTTTGAGAAAAACATTATACAAGAAAATAAATTTAATTGATGAAATATTAGACAATTTTCAATAAGCTTCTTAATTCATCATAGGTGATGGGTCTTAACAAAATCCAAAATGATCATTTCTGCTTCTGAACTAAAACGATTCTTTATATCTTTCAAAACATTGCATTGCATGCATGAATATTTGCAATGCTAAATACTTTTCCTTTTTTTTTTTTCATACATGAAATACTTGTCATTTAATTTTGTTAACGAGATCAATCGATAAAGCCAATTTGACAGTAGATATTTACGATTAATTATTTACCAGGATTGTGTAGAAAGCCACGCTGCTAACGCATACGTGTTGGTTTTGTTTCGTACAGAAGCAACCAAAAATGTGTTTCATTGTTTTTTATTCTTTTTCTATTGTAGACTTTGATGGAAGATAAAAAATTGAGACCATTCCACCTTTGAAAATGCTCTAACTAATAGGATTATTTAACTTGTACAACATAATTAGTATATATATATAGATCATTCTTCTAGTATAGGTGTATTTAATTAAACAAATAAAATATTTAATTTCAGTGTTTTCAAGAGATCACCGAATAAATGACGAGAGCAAGGGTATTTTCTTGATGTGTACATAATATTTTCCTTTTTTTTTTTTTTTTTTTTGAGTGAGTAGAAAGACATTTTTCTTGTACTAGAATGTGTAGTCTTTGAAATTACCGCGAAGATTGGATCTAGGTCTTCTTTCTACTTTGCTTAATAATTTTCAATTTTTAATTGGTGTGTGTTGAGATATGGAAGAAGACATTAATTTTGAGCTTTGGGGTGCCAATTAAGATGTTTGAACTTTACAACGCATGCAAAGAAAATGGACCCACGAGTATTATCTACGAGCTGTCAAGTAGGGTACGATTTCCTATCATGACTAATCTCTCATGCGTAAAGAACAAGAGAAGAAAGATTAAAATAAGGCAAAGGAAACAAAATACAAAGAAAATTCAAAGTCTCGGACCCGAACAACACGTGAACCCACCATTGAAGTTTCTTAGCTCCACAAAAATTCCTTCGTGTTGCATTTGTACCAGATTAGAAAATGGAAAAAGTTAATCACATCAAACTACTCACAAGTAATGCTTAATTTAATGGGCTAAAAAAGTTTAAAACGTGAAGAGAAATTATTTTTAATAAAGAATTTGATTTTACATTAATTTCAATAACTGACTTTGACCGCTGAAAAGTGACTGATAAGAGATAATAAGCATGTAAATGAGGATGTGAACCTTTATGCAAGGTCTCCATATATTGTGTAACAATTAATTATGTTTATTTTTCTTTTCATAGATATCCATGATTTTTTCTAACAGTTTATTAATCAAAGACAATTTTTTAACAAGTGAATCTGAACTTTAATTTTTTTTTATAAGTAAAATCTCATATTTAAAATCTTATAAATTGAAGGAAAAAAGCTTGATTAATAATTAAAAAAAACTCCTTTAAAAATAGTTAGTAGTTTCAGTTCAGAATAAATATTATAACTATTTTGAAGAATTTAATTAATATATAACGTAGCGATTTGTATACTGTCAATTAATTGATTATAAACCTTATTTTGTATGACTGATAAATTATTTATCGTAAGAATTAACAATTTTATTATACATAATCGGATTAAATTTTATTAGTGTATTTTAATTAAAATTTATTTAAAAATAAAATAAAATTAATATTTTCTCTCCATCTATGTCAGAATGAGGAGAAAGAAAATTTTTGAAATTCATTTTTTTATTTGTTGGAAGATAAGAGGAGAAAAGGAAAAGAAAATTTGACTTTAAGTTTCATTTTTTTTCCTCTTAATTGTTTTGGTTTTTAGTTTAAATTTTAAAATTTCTATTTTCTATTATTTTTTAGACTTATCAAAACAAATGAAAATTAGTAAGAAAATGTTATATATAACAAGATTTAGGAATTAATCTTTCTAGTACACCCTTTAACACATTTTGAGTTATTGATTTGTGTTCCGACTAAAGAGGCGTCTATGGTTCTTCTCCTAGGTCAATCCTCCTAAGCCAGAACATTCAAGAGTAAAATGTGTCTCATTAGGTTTAAGGTTCAAGGTTTTATAGCTACTCCTTGTGAACCTCGTAATCTCGTCAGTAATTCGTGATTTTTCTTGGCCGTTTTTATGTTCCGAATATTTGATTATCATTAATGAGATTTTGTCCCTGATATGCTGCATGCTAGGCTAAAGTTCTCGTCTCTAAGTCCCCAGTAAAGCTATATCGGAATGCAATCGAGTTGATGCTCATGAGTGGTAACCAAAGCTCTCGTCCCTCGATTCTCTAGGTATTTCATCTCGATTTGTCATATTGGTAATTCATATCGGTTAAATGTCCATGGATAAACCATGTCAGCATAATTTCGGGACGGTACAGTTGTCCCACAGCCTTGAACCTATAGGATAAGAAGGCTCTTTATTGTAGACCATCTCGCTATAAGTCTGGGACGATACAATTTGTTTACTAAAAATAATATTATACTTGTAAATAACTCACTCTTTAAAGCAAGTATTGACTTAAATTAAAAAAAATACAATTATAAAAAGATAGTAAAACATATGTTTATTAATGCACAATATTCTTCGTATATAACCACCCCACTAATATCGCTGTAGTGGTGGAGATTTGTATAACATGCATGAAGTCATAGATCTGATCTTTGTGTATATGTCACCATTAAAAAAAACATATTTATACATATAGATAATATCAATCAATCAAATATAAGTATTAGCAAATTAACAGCAATTATTAGACTACTAATCACTCAATACTTATCGTTAACCATTAAATATGGATAACAATTATTATTAGTCACGTAATGACTATTACTAATGAGAGATGCGTAGTAAATTAGTAACTGTTGGTATAGTACATATTAAATTATCGACCACTCAAAAGTGAGTAATGATAACAATAACCAGACAGTATAAACATTAGCAATTTATTATATATAAAAATGAACGATCGTCATCCGCAACAAAGACATTTTATATTATTAAGTGAAATAATTAAGTAAAATTAAAATGATCTTTCTCTCTAATTACGATATATATATATATATATATATATATTTATTTATTTTTTTAT